CCTGTCGGGTGGCAATTTTGAAATATCTCTATATATTATATACATTTTAATATATATATTAGGGATGCACCAAAATTTCGGCCACCAAAACATATCGGCCAACAATGGTACTTTGGGCAAAATGCAGAAACTACCATCTTTTGTACGAAATTGCAGTACATCCCTAGTTTCTCTCATCCTTGCTGGGCGCTGCTCTGTGTCCCCTCTGATACAGAGCAGCATCCAGCAAGGAGGAGAGAAACCGTCAGAAGGCCTTCTGCGACAGATCAGGATGGGGAAAGGTGTGGGACAGGAGACAGCTATGAGGCCTCCTGTGACGGCATGTCAGGATGGAGAGCACTTACAAACAGTCAGCGATCTGCTGATCGCTGACTGCTTGCAAATAATTGGAGGTATAGTATGTTTACTGTGTCCTCAATTATGAATGAACAGGGAGTGCTCTACATCACAGTAAACATACTATCTCCACAGGTTATGAATGGACAGGAGCACTCAGTATAGAGGCATCCTGTTCATTCATACCAGGGGCTTCAGAAAAAGAGATTGAGTGAGGACTCTTTTTCTATTTTAACCAGTTGACATCCGCGGTGTTAAACCCCCTTCCCATCCAGGCCATTTTTCAGTATTCAGCGCTTTAAAAAAATAAAAACATGTCATGAAAAATAAATACAAATAAAATAATAGTTTTTTTTTTAAAAGGTTAGAAAAAAAGTTTTGGTTTAGGCCTGACAATTTTTTTTCTTTTCGATTTCGGTCAGAAAATTCCATTTTGGTGCACCTCTTTTATACATTTTTAAAAAAATTCTTATTCAGGTACTCTTTTAAGGCCTTGTTCACACCAAGCGCGTTCCAGGAGTAGAGCAGCTACAGACCAGAGCAAAACTGTGTCCAATGTATTCCAATGGTATTTTTAGCTCCAGTTCACATCGCAGCGTTCCATTCCAGAGCAGGTCCAGAGCAGGTAAAAAAAACTGCAGCAGGCCCTATTTTACCTGCTTTGGAATGCTCTAGAACGCATGCAAACGCATAAAAAATGCATGCAAATGCCCTGGAACGCAGTGAAAGCCCATTTTAAACTAAAAAATAATTTTAACCAAAAATGGTCCGGAACGCATCAAAAACGCTGCAAAAAACGCGGCACAACCCACTGCACTGCGTGTGCAGAAACTCATGCAGATCTGCTCTGCATTTGGTGTGAACAAGGCCTTAACCTTCTCTTAACAGTGCCTGTAAATTGCCAGCCAAGTTTGTGCAAGCTGGTTCTTTAACCTCTTGCCGTCCGCCCGTAGTAAAAAAACGGACGGACGGCACTGCAGCATCTGCGGGTTGCCGTCTCCAGACGGCAATTTTTTTCTGCTCGCGCGCGCCCCCTAGCGGGCACGCACGGGCAGAAAAGACCCGCTAAATGCACACACCCGTTACCGGGTGTTTCACATATAGGCGATCGGCGGGTCTTTTAACACCGCGGATGTCAACTGGTTAATCTTTTTTTTTGTGATGCATATAGTTAGTACAGACAGGGAATTATCAACAAAAAGTGTACATTTCAAGAGCTGTAATCTCATTCTGCAATACTCGACTTCTTGAAGTTAAATGTGTTTCCACCAAACAAGCCAGAAATAGCCTGGCAACTTCTCACCTTTGGATTTCACATACATATCTAAATGATATCTAAATAATATCACTGTGTTTCATCCAAATGTCTGCTATGCCTGTGTTATCACATTTAGATTGCTTGGGTTTGCAAAAGACTTACAATTACTTTCTGTTAATATGAATCCCTCTTTAATTTGTTAAATGTATTTAAGACTAACATGGTGCCAAAATGAATGAAATATTGATGTAGATACTTGTACACAAAATGGCATGTTTAATATCAGCCTTACATGCTTACATGAGACCTGATTTTTCTCTGCTGCAGTTAAGGCAGACTTAGTGGTCTAGTCCTTCCACCAGCCTCTGACTGGACAGTGAAAGCAGAAGCAGCACACTGCTCTCTCCTATCTGCATATCCCTTGCTAGCACATGAGTAGCACAACTGATGCTGCCTCCTTATGCTTCTTCCATACAGAGGATTGCACGAGGCTGATACCAGGTCAAATTCAAGTTCTTACGCTACTTGCATTTCAAATATAAATTTTATGATAAATGAATGAACACATGTGCCTTTTATATCTGCTGGAGTTCAATTTTCAGGATTACAGTTATTTCAGTCTGTATTACACATAAATCTTCCCCATGGATTCAGTCTCAAGCTCAAGCTTCCACTGGACACCAGGAAGAAGGTTATACTGCTTGTTGGGGACTTGCTGGCTTGTGGAGCTAAGCCAACAGACTTAAGTTGGATATAGCCATATGTATTTTCTTCGTTCAACCTGCTGGCTGAATGAAGAAAATATAACCGATTCCTCCATCAACGCTTATGATTGTGGATGGACAAATCCCCTGCTGTCTTTATTGTATTCTGACAGCAAAAATGGGAGTTGAGGGGAGCGCTGACTGCCGGCGGAGCGGGGATCAGGTAACAAAAACTGTGTTTCCCAATACCCTAAACTTAATGGAGCAGTTTACCCTTAAAATGCGAGGGCAGCCCCACTTCAAAGGGAGTTTTATGTTTTACCCCAGTGATAGGCGTTAAGTTTCTAGATCTCCTTCTTCCCTGGCCTCATTTGAGAAAATGTAATTTTCATTCCATTCCAAAGTCAAATGTTAAAATCAAACAAAATTTTGAACACCATTTATCAAGTCTCTGATTGGCATTATCAAATGTTCTGATGAGATTTTTCATATGACTGTTCATACAAAAATCTACCAGTGTATGGTCAGCTTAACACAGTCACTAGTAGTGACTGTTTTAGTCTTGTGCATGTATAAAGTCACTCGCACTACAATAGAATTTCAAGTCAAAAATGGTTTATTGACTTGATTGCTATCACATCATACAGCAATATATAATGTGATAGCAATCAAGTGAATAAACTGTGTTTGACTTGAAATTCTATTGAGTGTGGTTACTTTATACATACACTTATCTTTGGTTGCAGAGGCATCTGCAGTCATTTTAGCACCCACCCGACTCTAAGGGTATTATTCGGTCAGGAGTGCGATGGGTACACTTGATTTTGGACTGTTTTAGTCTTGTATCTCATATGTATATGCAAATGTTCTGTACACTGTAGAGGATTTAGAGGGGGCAGGGGGATTTAAGGAGAACTCCTGTCAAAACAACAACCATAAGTTAATGTATATAAGATTAATAATATTACAAGCATTTCATTCCTTTTGAAAATTTGATCACCAAAGCAACGTGCGTGATTTTTTTTTTATAAGCACTACGAGGGGTAGACAAAATTGGAGCAGACAAAATCTGGAGCAGCTGTGCATGGCAACCAATCAGCTTCTCTTTTCAGTTTGTTCAGTTAAGATCTGAAATTGAAACAGAGAAGCTGATTGGTTGCCCTGCACAGCTGCTCCAGATTTTGTCTGCTCCAGTTTTGATAAATTCCCCTCTCTGTGTCCTTGAAACATTATATGTAATATTCTGATGTCACTCTTCAGCTATTAGAAAAAATATAGGACAAGAACATTATCTTTTAACAGTATACATAAAAACAGACCTCTTGGAAAGCAGATGAAATACGTATACAGGAGGTTTTTTACCTGCCAATGGATTTTTGTTTCTGTCCATTTGGTTCTTAGATGTATACAGTCTTGCCAGATGGCTCAGTAGGTGTAGTGACCTGATTTGTCTTTATCGAAGTTAAATATAACTTGGTCACCCTGCCCCAGCCTGTTATTCAACAGTGAAGAAATAGCAGCAGAATGATGAGTGGGAGGACGCGTGGGATTACCCCTTCTCTCACCTGGTCTCGGCCATAGACAGACTAATTCAATTTAAAATCTTACACAGGATCTACTATACTCCGTTGAGGCTGGCTCGCCTATATGGGGGAGAGGGCTTCGGATGCTGGAGATGCTCTGAACCGTTGGCGGATCTCATCCACATTTTGTGGGCCTGCCCGCGGATCAGACCATTTTGGGAGGCCGTTGCAGGGAATGTGTCCCAGTACTTGGAGAGTTCGCTTGAACCTAGTGTACGCACATGTATTATGGGGCTGACTAAACATCTTGCCCCCTCTGTTGCGAGGAAGACGTTCCTGGGAATTCTGCTGTTCTGTGCTCGCAAGGTCATAATATTAAGATGGAAAAAGAGTTACCCGCCCAGCTTGTCTGACTGGCAGGCCCTGGTTAACTCATATTCAAGCCTATACGAAGCAACATACCTGAGGAGGGGATGTCTGAACAAGTTTTCCAAAGTTTGGGGAGGATGGATGGAGTCGGCGGATACGGCAGGATAGGGGTCCCATGGCTGTTTTGTATGTGAACCTTTGAAGATGTGATGTTATAATGTACAATTAAGACTGGAGGTGAAACACTCCCTGAGTGTCTAATCCTTGCTTGTTACACCGTTGTAGTTGTTGTACTCCTGTGAGGGAGGCAGTCACACACAGTGAGAGGCGGCGGGAGGTGGGGAGACACACACTTGCTAGGGGATGGGGAACATCTCGCTGTAGGACGGTTCCTATAGCAGAGGTTGGGGTGTATTGGTTGGTTAATAATGTTATACTGTTATATAAATGTACTGCACTGTGTACCTTCACGGACATGAAGGTCTATGCTATGTTTTGTACGAAAGTCTTTAATAAAAAAGAATTTATAAAAAAAAAGAAATAGCAGCAGTGGATAAAACTTATACCTCAGCTAACTCTGCTCTCTCATCCTGTCAGTGTGTTTTCCCAGCTCTGGCTCTGAGTCTCGGTGCTGCTCTACAGGAGAATATGGATAATTGGGATGTTACCAAGTCACATTCTGGTGCCTAAATTAGCTGCATTTAAAATACATTTAATTATTTCAACTTTACATTTTACTGGTTTTACATTTTACATAAACTTGGTTCAGTCATTAATGCCTTCTAAATCTGTGTTTTTTTTGTCTTGCAGATGTTATTCACACTGTGGGGCCTATTGCAAGAGGACAGCTAAACGATAACCATAAAAAGGACCTTGAAAGTTGTTACAAGTCTTCACTGGCACTGGCAAAAGAGTACAAAATCAGATCAATAGTAAGTCCAAATCTTTTAAAGTGCAATATTGTTTTTGACAGGTAGGTAAATCGATGTCTATAAACTGAAAGCTCAAATCGACATTCTTTTTCATTCAATGAAAATAATTTCTACGTACATGGCTATGTGTTTACGTATTTGTATTAATGAGTTCAGACTCATAACTGGTGGGTACAGAGATTCTGCGCACACATTCTTTTTTGAATCAATGAATTGCTCCACTTGAAAGTAGAAGAGTATAGAACATAAATCCCCTTCAAAATGATTGTTCTGCGTCTGGTTGTTTAAAGCTGAACGGCGGGAAAAACCTGAAACTCCCATTGCAAAGGTTAAATGCTTGTTGAGGTCTTGGATACCTGGAAATGGGACCTTTACTTACCTGATCCCCACTCCATCAAGACTACAAGACCTGCACCTACAGCTCCCCCCCACCCCCCCTTCAACGCTCCAGGAATAGAAGGCCTACTGATGTCATCAAGTACAATGCAGGGTCTGTAGCCCGACATTATACATGAGGACTCCAAGAGACTGTTCACAAGCTGAAGTGAAGGGGAGTTGAGGGGAGTGCTGACTGATGATGGAGCGGGGATCACATAAGTAAAATTGGTTTTCCGAATACTAGAGACTTAAACAGGCATTGAAACCTTTGCAGTACGAGGGCAGCCCCACCCCTAGGTGAGTTTTATGTTTTCCCTAGAGATAGGCTTAAAGTCTCTAGATCTCCCTCTACCTTGGCTTAATTTGTTCTTACTTAAACTAGACTGATCATTTATTCCTGTGGAGAAGGGAAAGGGAACAGGTGACACCATCATTGACTATGTCTAGTAGTCCCCTTCCTCAAACCAGCAATATATCTCACCTGGTGCTTGTTTATGCCTCTTGACTGAGAATCCATTGAGTGCCCCTTAAGAAAGTCTATGGATTCAGTAACTTGCCAATGTCTATCCAAGGCTTCCCGTTTGCAGATAACAAAGTAGTAATAAACTCTCAAACTTTTTTCAATAATGAATCCAGATCAAACAATCATTGTCCAGCAACGTATTCCTTTTATTGTCGCCAAGCACTTAGTCATCACGTTTCTGAACTGGCTCTAACTTTCTCAGCTCAGCTGCCCTGAACTTCCTGTCCAGTACAAGATCCCAAAGGACAGCACAGTCTCCGGCATTTGTCCATCTACTGGCTTGGGGAACGGAGGATGGAGGAGCGGGCAGCAGAGGATTAGCTTGCCCTGCTCTGCCTGTGTGTTTATGGAGATACACACAGCTCACTAGTACACACAAGGGTGGCTCCATAGGGACCTGCAAGGGAAAGGAGCCACCCTAAAACAGGATATCAGGGCCAGTGTTCAGGAGATCAACTGATTCTGAAAGAAAACTAAAACTTTTGAACATCTAGAAGCATCATCCATTGTAAGTGATTTAATCAGCATTTGAAATCGACTGTAGCTTAAGAACCTCTTGACTTTAATATCACTTTAAGGCAGCTTCAACCAGTGTGGAAACCACATGTGACTCTTAGCTGACTGTGTGGTGGTTCTCAACGACCTCTTACTAGATGCTTATAACCTCTTTGTCTGTCTCTTACCATTTTAACATTGTACTCTTCCCATAAGCACTGAACAAATCAGAATCTACCTAAGGGCTTGTGGATCTGGATGTTTGCATTTTGTTTATAATATGATTTTGTTAAAGCTGAACTCCAGACATATTGCTAAATAAGGCATTTGCATGCATACATAGATGTGGTTTTACACGCAAAACTATTTGCATTTCTGTCAATCAAGTTCTGAAATATGAACAGCTCATCTAGACAGCAGAGCTAGGGTAGTTAAGCAGCACAGCTAAGTCACCTCTCTGCTCTAATCTTGTAATTGGACAGTGAAGGAGCAGCAGCACAATAATGAGGTATCCCGCTGCTCACTCTTCTCCTGGAAGTATCTTTCTTGCCAGCCTATATGGACTGCAGCAAGGTGACCCCTAAAACTAGTAATCCTTCCTATTTTAGTCTGAGTGCTGCCGTATAGATAGAGTGACTGTAAACAGGTACTTACTCTGGTTGCATTAAAAACATTTTTAATAAATCAATGATTGCATTCATTCTAGCGTTTTTTATATTTCTGCCTGCAGTTCAGCTTTAAGCATTTTAAAGGATCTGGAACGTAGCGTTTGGATGGTGTATTGAATTGTATGGAGTTGTATGTATCCATTTAGATGCATCCAACTGGTGTCACTGAGAGTCTATTTTATGTCTTATATTTATTCAGCTTTTTCAGAGTTTGATACATTAAACTCTGGTGAATGATGTGTTGTCAGTCATTGTCCTGTTTTGTGTTTTGTTATGGTTGTCAAGCTGTTGCTGCTGGCACCATTCTGTATATGGCGGTTGTTGAGTTTAAAAACAATATTGATTTTGCTAAGCTGTGTTTGCTTACTGTGTAGTTTTGTTCTGTTTGGTACCCTAAATATGTTTGGCAGTGGTTTATTAATGAACTGGAATGCAACACAATTTTTTGCACATATTTTTATTGATTAAAGGAAACATTAACATGAGAGAATAATACTGCTGCATTGCTAACTTGCATCTGAGGGTTAGTTCACACCAGAAACTGCATCACAACTGCGTGCGTCTGCGCAGTTGCATTGTGATCCGTTTTGATGCGTTTTGACGCGTTTGTGATGCGTTTGTGATGCGTGCTGATGCGTTTTTCCCCCTGCATGACCCTGGATGATGCCACAATCAGTTCTGTTTTTTTTGTATGCAGTCCGTTGCGTTTTAGTGCATTTTGATGCGTTTTGATGCGTTTTAGTGCAGTTAGATGCAGTTTGATGCAGGTAAAATAGGACAAGCAGTACTTTTTTTTGACTGCATCTGAATGGACTGCAATGGTGTGAATTAGGCACAAGAAAGCCCATAGGAAAGCATTGTGATGTATTTTGACTGCAGCAGTTAAAATAAACGGACTGCATCACAACTGCATATGGTGTGAACAGGCCCTGAAAATGCTAGTTTGTTGGCTGTTCCTGGCTTCAGTACTTTGTAAATAATTTAGTCCTTATCTACATATGTGTACTGGGTCTGTGACTGGAATCATTAAAATGAATGTAAACCCTGAGTAAACCCTCTGTTGTATCTGCTTCAAAAATAGAAAAATGCATGTGAATCCTGCCAGAAATTCAGTGAGCTCGTAAGTTTTTCTAGTGACAACACAGGGCATGTGCTGTACTGAAATCTGAATGTCCTCAGCCCTGCCATATTTCTATCTATTATCTTGTTCTAAAGTTCTATCAAATTTCTTTTCCTGGGGTGACAATGATGCTTCTCCGTAGATACAATACGGTGTGTGAGTGTTGTCACCCTAGGACAGGAAGTGTGTTACTGGCAGGATCCAAAGAAAGGGAAAAAAAGACTGAGGATAGAAAATGAATGCAGCCACTAAATCTGAGGGCTGGTAAGCGGCAATATATTTCATTGTTGTTTTGGGGTTTAGATACACTTTAAAGCCATCATGACAACAAACAGGAGATGTCAGCACAGACAGCTTCCATGTATTTCTAATGACAGGTTTTCTTTAAAGCCCAACTGAAGCCTGATTTTGTTTCTAGCTATTCTGCAGTCAGGCTTTGTCAAAATTAATTGACATGTCAGTCTTTCTTAATGCACCAGTGTGCTACAGCCTTTGTTATAATTCCCTATGCCTGCAGCATGTAGGATCTGGATTGCTGTTCAACACAGAGCGCAGTAGTCCCAATCTCGAGCAGCTCAACAGACCCCTGCATGTGGTGTACCAAGCAACAATGCTCATGCTCCCTAAGCAGCATGGTTGACTGATGGATATCTAGACTGCCATGCCAGATCATGCCTTGCATTGGCTTTACTTTTGAACAGCCTGGCTGTTAAAGTCAAATCGAACCCTTTTAATAGATCTCTGTGATGTATAGATGTGTTCCCCAGTTACAAAAAAACTTGAAAGTTCTGAGTGTGACTCCATTATAAATTCCAACCATCGTAGTCTCTTGCCCTTGATAATCATCGCCCTTCCCCATCCCAGCACGGTAGACCTGGCGCACTTTTTGAAAGACTACACCAGCGAACTAATCTCAAAGTAAAAGAAGTCTACAGCTGAGTGGACAATTTAGTTCCTCTCAAAAGAGCTTCTTATTATTTCTATCTCCACGTCTGCTTCTGACCGGGCCGCAGGCCATAATGCAGGTGTTCCCTGAGAAATGGTTAAGATATTATTCTACTCTGATAGTGTTCATGGTGTTGCCATAGTAATGATTCCCAACCTGAAATTCTTAAATGCTGTTTGCCTTTAATGACTTGCCTTTTGTCTGCAGTTCACAACAATCAATAGGCTTCTGTTTTAAAAGGAACCTTTTCTGCAAGTAACAGCATTAACTCAATATTCCATTCAATGCACATAGAAAGAAAGCACAATTTTCCTGCTTATTTCTCTACCCTTATGTTTTTTTCTTGGGCTCTTAGGATCACGCACAATAGCACATTCGCTAAGTAGTAACTGAAAGCTTTTTACATGGAAGAAAAAAAAACTACAGGGTCTTATAGCAGAACTTCAAGGAAAAATAGGTTTCAGGACCTTGTTTGTGTTTCATAATGAAAGGTTCTTGTTTATAATGTTTGGTTTATGCTACACTTGATATTTAGGTAAACGGTAGCGAGAGCACGTCGTTTTCTGCTGGTGTTTTGTCATCTGAATTTTGATTTGTCATGTTATTTGTCAGTATGTGTTAAACTGTAAACCAGGGGTAAAAGCTATGGTAAATATACTGGGTCTGGTTTATTAAACCAAAGAAAAAAATATGGAGTCATTGCCCACGGCAAAGAGTCAAATTACGTGTTATATTTCTATGCAAATGCATTGGCTTTCCAGCTAATTAGCAAAGTGAATGTTACTGTCAACAGGCAGCTAAAGTGAACTGGGTATGAATAGAAACATATAACATTAACATAACCCCCTAACAGGCAGCAGCAAAAAGTGT